TAATCTATTTATTCACATAAACTTTCAAATTTTGACCTGATGGCCCAGTAAAGAAGATTATATCATATTACAATGTCCCAAAATACGGTTAGTTAGAAGAATGAAAACAGAATACCTGTTTATAACGGAATAACTACATGTTTGGCTCATAAATGCTTTTAATCTTATGGTAGACACCATGGTGGTAGACAAGCTGATTTTCGACTTTTTTTTCAAGAGATTGTATGAAACGTTTGCCTACCTGGACCCCGTTTCAGAAAGCTATCGTAGCGCTACGACTGTCGTTCCTCCTATGCTTTAACATAGACTTACGGCCATCGTAGTTCTACGATAGCTTTGTGGAACGGGGCCCTGGGTCCCGATCCCGATATTTAGTCCCTAAAATATAGCTTGATAATAAATGAAGTGCATGATTTGTACTTGAATTTTGTTCACCCAAAAGCTGACAAGACAGGTGTCCTGCAATTACAGTTTAAACCAGGGCCTGGGCTTAAATACTGAAAATCACTGTTCTAGTGATGAAATATTTGAACCATATTTAAGCCCAGGGCTTAAATTCGAAAATGCATAATATTTTGAAAAAAAAGGAAAAGACTCAGGATTTTTAAAAACTCTTTAATCAGGAAACTGGTCTATAAATTAAATATTTAAAGTTATGAAAATGTTTACTCGATTGAGTATATGTGAACTTGAATGATAAAGTTGACAGTCTTTAATGCTAAACACGAACTTCAAACTATCATGAGAGGATTGACTGACTAAGACAATGACTAGTTTCTACAGTGAGTATTTGGAGCCACACTGTTTTCAGAGTTCAAAGCTGTGAAAACGTTCACTCGAGTGAGTATTTCAACTGCGAACGGAATGATGAAGTTATAACAGTCTATTTAATGCAAAACATGAACTTCAAACTAATAGTTTGAGTTGAGTTTAGTTTGGCTTTACGTCACATCGGCATTATTCCAGCCACATAGTGACGAGAACAAGTCTGAATTCATGAACATTTTAACTTCAAACTAACATGACAGGAGTGACTGACTGATATCAAAGTCTCCGCGTTTAGAAAGGGACGTCACTCTTAACACCCAAAATTAAATCCAAATTTAAGCCCATGGGCTAAATGTCGCGTGGCCTAAACACGGGACTTCTCGGTACCTAGTTGATTCAATACAACCCAGCTAACACACACCGTTTTCGCAACGTTGTGGGAAGGTTGTAAATTGGCAACGTCATGACACGACGTTGCAACAACGTTAGTATTGCCTCATTTTATAACGTTATGTCACAACGTAATAACAACATTGCAAATTTACGCTGAGGAAACGTTGTGCTTTGGTCTCCTCACAACGTGATAGCATTTCTAATAACTTGGTGTCACGCTAGAGTGTTTGAGATTCACTTTGAGATTCTTTCTTCACTATTCAGCTACAGCTTCAGAAAACACACGAGCAAAACAACATGCAAATTGGCAAATAAACATTGAAGTGAATTTCTGCTTTGTTTTTTATGTACTGTTCACTACTATTAAAAACTATTCAACTATTAACGTTAAATAGAACGTTAGGACAACGTAAAATACGTTAGCATCAAATAATTTTTACCCCGTGGCGACTTGAAAGTAACGTATTACAACGTCAGGCCACAACGCTGTGACAACGTGAAATTGTTAGCTGGGTATACAAAAATGTCCGAAACAACCAAAATTTAGTTCAACATTCATCAGTGGCTGGGAAGCTGTCATTTTAATCACACACCCACCAGCGCTCGTCGCACAGTGTTCGTATTCAGGCACACGAGTGAATTGTATTTGATGTCGCTTGTTCAGTGCCATGTCAAAAATGATATTTTTATGTTTGATTCTATTGTATCGTGTATAGGGTAAATGTTGTGATCTCAAAGGCTTATAAATATTTTTGACACGAGGTCAGCCTCAGAAATAGTATCCTTATCCTGTCAGCAAATTGTCATAGGTATTAATACATTGTATAAACAAGTACAGCTAGTTTCGGTTATCACCCAGAAGGATAATTATTACACTCTCTCCAAAAAGAAACGCATAGGTGTATTTTCACGAATTTAATCTGCTAACTTTAAAGTGAGATAACCGATGTAATTCTGAATCAGTTGAAGCCAAATTCCACAGTATAAAAGTTGACGTTCACGTACGCGTCGGCCGAGGTCATCCCACACCGTAATGTTCTCATTCAGAAGAGAATGCTGGAACAGCTCCTCTGGCGGTCAATGAACGGATCGATGTGAATCCTGAAGATTTCGTCTCTGTACCGAATAGCAGCTAAATTTCACACACAGTTAGGCGCCCACACTTAGATGTCTGTGTGTAGGATATGGCTCCCCGCATCATACCACCCTTATATCGATCAACTTGGGCTACACGATTCTATGCAAAACGTTCATTTTGACGTCGATAAAAACGTACCCTTCCATCACGCCACTGAAGCCGAAAGCGTGATTCATCACTGAACCATACGCGTCACAAGTTTTGTAGATTCTTGAACCGAATGTTATTGCATCACTAGACCCGTCGACGTAGATGTAGTCGTCGCAGCACAGGACCAACATATGGTCTTCTGGCTCGAAGTCCAGCTGCTCGTAAATGATTACGAAAGGTTTGCGCCGACACTCTCCTCAAACCAGGCATTGCACTAGCAGTTGCTGTGACTGATTCCGCAAATAAAGTACCCGGACGTACCTATCTTGTACTGCAGTGGTTAGCCGTGGTCTGCCACTGCGCGGACGATCTTGCGTAGAATTGGTTTGTTGTTATCGCTTCCATAAACGACTGGTGGTACTCTGGTGAACATTTAGGTAACGTCACTTAGGAGACTCTCTAGCCCCCAGACGTCCATATTTGAAATTTCATAAAAGCAATATCACCTGTGCGTTTCTTTTTTTGGGAGAGTATACAGAAATACGTTTACGGAATTGGATCGCATTTGTGTCTATTTTAGTTACATTATTGATAATTAGTGTGTCTGTGCAATATTTTCCTAATCTAAAATTAAGCACCTACCTTTCTTTTGTCAGCATATTAAGTGCAACAAAAATACGTCATTTAGCATCTCTCAAAAATAATATAGAAAAAGTCTTTTTTCAACAAATGCATCAAGCTGAAATCAACAACAGACTATCACTAACTGATATCATTATGAATGGATTCTTTTTCGTTGAGTAAAGCACGCTATCTTCGGTCACGAGGTTACTTAATTACAATATGGACCCGTGAAGATCCGGGTTAGGTTTGGTCTTGCCGGGATCGGGTGGTCAGGCTCGCTGACTTAGTTGACACATGTCATCGTATCCAAAATGCGTAGATCGATGCTCATGCTTTTGATCACTGGATTGTCTGGTCCAGACTCGATTATTTTACAGACCCGCCGCCATATAGCTGGAATATTGCTGATTGCGGCGTTAAGCAACAAACCAGCCAGCCAACCAACTATACCCGACACATCATTATCTTTCTAAGAAGGAAACATTTCCCAGTAAATATAGTGTCATAATATGGCGGAGATGTGTTATCGTTACATGACTATTAAAACATTAAATAAACATTTTAAAAATCATTCTTCGCCATAGTCAGCATTATTCTAACTCTATGACAGCAGTCTGTAAATAACTGAGCCCTGAAAATATATTATTAAAATCTACGTGGAGATGAGACAATAACATTCTGTTATTGACGGTACAGTTATGATGTGGGCAGAGTTGACTATTCAAGATTATTATTGACAGAGAGTTAGTATGGTTTTACGCCGCTTTTAACAATATTCCAGCAAAATCACAGCGGGGATAACAGAACTAGGCTTCATACATTGGACCCATGTGGGGAAGCGAACTCGAGCCTTCGACGTGACGAGGGAAGACCCGGGTTCGATTCCCCACATACGTACAATGTGTGAAGTCCATTTCTGGTGTCCCCCTCCGTGATGTTGCTGGAATATTGCTAAAAGCGGCGTAAAACTATATCCACTCACTTAGAGACTAGGTGTTAGTGTATTCATAACGGTGAAAGAAGATTCACACAAAAAAACATCCCCTTACCTTGCATGAAAAAACCCATACTTCTTGAACTCCTATTGGAGTTGGCCAGGAATAATAGTTCACATTTTCTAACGAAAAACGAACCTGTGGTTGGTATTACAACATGGGCAACCTATTAGTCTCACAGTTCCTGAACCGCATTATTTCCCCTTCCTCCAAGCCCTTTCTGCCATTCTAAAGCCCAAAATGAAGCAAGTCTATATTTTCTCAGGTCTGAATCTCCCATCTCACTTGGCCATTTTCAATTTAAAAGGAATTATTTGTTTCTATCCAAATTGTACGTATTCAGAGACGTTTGTCTGGGGTAACCTGGAGTCACCGAGAATGACCACCCACATCTCCGATCAAGCATTGATTGATGACTGGGGACCTATTCTTATCTAGTATCAAACAAGGAGTAGAAACCTAGTACCAAGGACAAACTGCGGAGTAGAAACCCACTCCATGAATGAAGTGGGTGTTTTTAAGAAACCAGAGTACAACTTACAACGCATGTTGACATCAGCGCCGATCATACGCACGTGTCAGCGCTTAATGTGGAATTGTCCATGAATGTGCTAGCGCTAAAAATAGAAAGGTAACCTTTGTGGTGAAACTAAGAGTACATACCTGAAGAACAGTGAATAGTCATTCATCCATAGTTAAACGCTGTCAGTTTTCTGACGCATTAACCCCAATATGTGACACTCCTTCCTGTTGTGTTGAACGGCTGTATAGACTAAATGAAGGCAACAGCCTGGACATGTTTGATTAAGCTAACTAGGGTTTCCCTGACGCTGATCTATTTATAGCATTGCATTCAATGACGTGTGTCTCTGTACAGAGGTTCCGCATATTGTCATTGTGGTTGTAATTGATACCTGATCACTGGTAAACATTTAGTAAATTTGGAGTTGTGCATTTGTAGTTCTCAATTAGCCGAGGTACAGTTGCCTGCTATGGATGTTACTGATGCTGTATCACGGGCGCCTGTACTCGCCGCCAGCGCACAGAGACGACGACCAGGAAGTGAAATATCTCGCCACACGCAGCATAGTCAACCGACTCAGGAGAAGGAGAAACTCGGTAGGAGGTTGAGAACATTCGACAACTGGACAGGGACGGTTAAATCATTACAGCTCGCTATTGCGGGGTTTATGCTGATCGGCCCTGGGGACAAAGTGGAATGTGACACCTGCAAGGTTAAACTGTACAACTGGACGGAGACAGATGTCCCCCTTGACGTACATCGGAAATACTCCCCAGACTGCAGCTTCCTCAAGAAGTGGTTTCCTGCGCTTACGCCTACGCTACGATCTGGATATGATGTTACCAAGGCAAAGTATAGCGATTTTGTTGAACAGGTAAAGAGACTGGGCACGTTTGAAGCGTGGCCCCTTAAACTGGATATTCAATCTCCTCCAAACATGGCTGCCGCCGGGTTTTTCTATATCGGCTCTGCAGACCGAGCTCGGTGCTTCTACTGCGGGCTGACATTAAGGGACTGGGATACTGATGATGATCCGTTTGATGCGCATCTCCAGTGGTCTCCAAGATGTGAGTATATAAAACACGCCCACAACAGCAAACGGGGGGATGGAATTGACATGAGGTCACAGGATCCACGACACGATGGAGCGTCTTGTGCACAAAACAAACCTGTTGTGGTTGCTGCAAATCATGGATCCAGGGACAAAGACGGACCTGGAACCGGATGTCCCACAAAGGTTCACGCAGGTGCTCCTCCAAGTAAACCAAGACACTCCCCACAGGTAGAGGCGGTGCATACCATGGGAATCTCATATGAGCTGATTCAGCAAGCTGTTGCATCAAGGAGTACAGGGGATGACTTTCCTGACGCCACGTCGTTATATCTGGCGGTGGAGGAACTGATGGGAAACTGACGATGATGCTGATGCAGTTTTCTGTTTGAGTTTTGTTTGTTTGTAGAACTGCAACAGTCACGGCATTGTCGTTCCGTGTTATTAACTGTCCTGAAGCGAGAAAATAGACTTTCCTTGATTTACCACAGTTTACTTGGGTGCTTTGTTTCTAATACAGACGATGTCGTTTAGAAGTGGAACAAATAACACCATCCCGTTATAGAACCCTGTGACCCGTGAAAGACTGACGTGCTGAGAAAAGAGAGTGAATGTTGTTTAACACCGCACTAGTTGACGACGACCTGTCCATGCTGGAGTCATGACCGGGGTAGCGCAGTGGTTAAAGCGTTCGCTCGTCCCGCCGAAGGTCCGGTTTCGATTGCACACATGTGTACAATGTGTGAAACCCATTTCTTATGCCCCCCGCAGTGATATTGCTGGAATAAAAGCGGCGTAAAACCCAAGTCACTCACTTACTCGAGTCATCACCAAGCAGTGGTTGATAATATGAGCCAGTTCCCTGTTCTCACCTAGAATCAAGACGGACATTTTATTATACCGTATTTCTTTAATAAGCGCCGTATGCAACGCCGCGTCAATGTGTTTGTGAACTTTACATAAGGCGTCGTTATTAAGTTATAAAGTATAATCTGTAATTGTATTCAAGAAAAACATGAAACGGGTATGAGAGTAATTCGTGTAGTGTCATTATTTTGTGGATTTCTCTACAGTTGTAAATAAATATATACACATCCTGTGTGTTGTCCTATGTACCCTGTCCTATGTACCATGTCTGCTGTCCTATGTACCCTATCCTATTTGCCCTGTGTGTTATCCTATGTACACTGTCCTATGTACACTGTCCTATGTACACTGTGTGCTGTCCTATGTACCCTGTGTGTTGTCCTATCTACCCTGTCCTATGTAGCCTGTGTGCTGTCCTATGTACCCTGTGTGTTATCCTATGTACCCTGTGTGTTGTCTTATGTACACTGTGTGCTGTCCTATGTACCCTGTGTTTTATCCTATGTACCCTGTCCTATGTACCCTGTGTGTTGTCTAATGTACCATGTGTGCTGTCCTATGTACTCTGTGTGTTATCCTATCTACCTGTCCTATGTACCATGTGTGCTGTCCTATGTACCCTGTGTGTTATCCTATGTACCCTGTGTGTTATCCTATGTACCCTGTGTGCTGTCCTATGTACCCTGTGTGTTATCCTATGTACCCTGTGTGTTATCCTATGTACACTTAGGAGATAAACGTACTGTGTTTGGAAATTAGATGAATGTTAGACCGAATTGATAGTCTCTAAATTTCATTTGAAGCCGAACGCGTAGCGTGAGGTTTCAAATGATTAATTTAGAGACTATCAATTCGGTCTAACATTCATCACATTCCAAACACAGTATGTTTATTTCCATTCTACCATAACCGATTTAACATCGAACTTCCTCGTCCTGCGGAAGACACTGCGTAATCCGGCATGGGACGAGAGGCGAATTGAACTCGTCTGTGAAGGGTGAGTGAGTGAGCATGGTTTTACGCCGCTTTTAGCAATATTCCAGCAATATCACGGCGGGAGACACCAGAAATGGGCTTCACACATTGTGCCCATGAGGGGAATCGAACCCGGGTCCTCGGCGTGATCTGTGAAGGGAGTGGTAGGTGCCGTTCGTATCTTTTTTAACATTGCAACATAAAAAAATATTCTGTCCAAAGAAAACAAACTACTGTTTATTCAATGCAATAATGTAACACCTAAGAGCTTGGTTTTTTATAATCATAACTCCACACGACCGAAACGAGCCTATTGTTTTGTGTGCCGTGTTACTGTACTCCCCTGGCCACACTAAAATGGAATCGTCTGACCTACTTATTTTCTTGGAAGTAGACAGTTACGCAACAGTTTGAAATGGCGGACGAGCCTGTGTACATTTTGCGAAAGGTTGAAATTCGAAGTGACAGTGGAAAATACTTGACTGACTGTCGAACCTGAACCCTGCAGAATCGAAGAATACATCCTTTTCTGATCGACCTATGACCTGTAACCCATCAAAGACTGTTGATTTTTATGACCGGCGAGTGTCGATCATGATTTCACGTACGTACCTCCACCCCGGCAGGCGACGAAAGAGTGACAGTGCTGCTTTGTGTACATGCGACTGACTTGGGATTCCTTGGAACATTGTTCTCATCATTTTGGACTGGATTATGGCCAAGCTTTTCAAAGTGTACGAACATAGCAGTGACAGCCTTGCGGGGAAGGTGGTAGAGAGCGGAATTCTCGTGGTTCAATTTTATGTCATGAACGGGACTCGATGGAGTATGAGTGGCATAATTTTTTGTTTCGCCTGACCGTTATCTTGCTAATTTCCCATTCTGAACGGAAACAAATATACCATTTACCAGGTAGGTAAATGTTTACGAACGTTTTGCCGCACAAATATGGATAGATAGGGATGTATTTTATACAAGGTTTTCTTATTTATATGTTAGATATTGTTTGTTTATGTTTGGAGCTGTGTATTGTAATTGAGTTTGAATATTTTTATAATAGAAGATAATAATTATGATAGTGAGGTTCCCTAATAATTGTGGTGGAGAAATCATATAATTGTATTTTTCGAGTTTTAATAAATGTTTCATCAGCATTTCCATCACGTCTGTTGTGTTGAAATTAGTCATGTTGGTGGCCAAGCTGAAGTAGTGCGGCAGTGTTGTATACGTGTGCAGTGAAGTGCCGTGAAATTAGACGCATTTTCAATCCAAATTGATACCGTCTGATTTTATTGATTGACCAATCAAATTCGAGCATTTCACGTAGCCATGGTAGAATGTCCTATGTACACTGTGTGCTGTCCATATACATTAATTGTTATCTTGAAACGATTCAGGTTTGTACTGTGTTCATTAATCCCGACCAACTGTCGTATCCTTACACTGACAGGCGAGCTCTTTTCAAGATTACTAATGTCTGGCAAATCTCAATACTTTATAGGAGTATCGACTGTGCATGGTATCACATTTTCATGTATTGTGATACATTCGTACATCTGGTGGGACTGTCTACTCAGCCGGGGCGGTGGGGTAGCCTAGTGGTTGAAGCGTTGGCTCGTCACGCCGAAGACCCGGTTTCGAATCCCTACATGGGAACAATGTGTGAAGCCCATTTCTGGTGTTCCCCGCCGTGATGTTGCTGGAATATTGCTAAAAGCGGCGTAACATCAAACTCAGTCAGTCAGTCTACTTAGCCTATTTGGAAAGGCTTATCTCTTATTTCCATAAGAAAATTGAAACTCCATAAGAAAATTTAAACTCCAGTGATAAGAGTTTGCAAAAATGTTATTCGCAATTGAATGAAATCAAGTTCATCATAACTAATACCCCCATTTCACTGGGCTACGATCGGTCCCGATTGCATTTTTTTAAATCGTATAATATCGGAAATGTACCTGGAGTAGTCGACAGAGATCAGCAAGATACTTGAGTGTGAGTGCATAATCTGGAAGTGATTTTTTAATCGGCCCAAGATTTTGAACAGGTTCAAAAACTTGAGCCGATTGAAAAAAGTCGTAAGTTATGCGTGACTGATCGGGATAGTCGCCAGTGTGTCGGGAGTTAATCGGGAATGCATCGGTAAGTATCATGAGCAATCTGCTTAACCATAGGTGAAGCGTGAACGAGTCGTACCATTATTGAGAGGCAGAAACGGCCACGTGTCATTCCCGTAATGCCACGCTTCACACCTGATCAACCACGATTAACTCCCGACACATCCCCAACATGGAACCGACAGGCTTATTGCCAAACAAAGCAGAGCTGTCAAAGCCACGCATCAGCACGATTTCTCCCAAATAAGACACGATCCACTTACGTAATGTTCACGCTCTACACACGATTTGCACGATTCACATCTGACTGACAGCAAAGGCATAAAAGCACCGGCGATCACAGTCAATATCACTTCAACTGCTGTAATGGAAACATTGAAACATGGCAAGAACAAAGAGATCAGCCAACAGGAAGATCACCCACCCCACCACCAGAAGAAAGCCAGGATGCGCTTTCTCAGGACGAGCCTCCACAATCAATGGAGGAGCACTTAGACACTGCCGTGGGTCCCGCCAAGAAGCCGAGGGTAGTGGTGAAGCTGACCCCAGCTGAAGAGACAGACATGGTCTGCTTCATACGAAACGACCCCTCCCTCTACAACAAAAAGTTGAGAGCGTGGACAGAACGACCCCTGAAAGAGAAACTGTGGCTGGATCAGGCAGAGAAGCTTCACAGGACAGTTGCGGAAATAAAGACCTGGTACGACCAAGTCGGGACAGGGGGATGTGGAACTCTCCGAGAGAGACCAGTGGATTTATGACAGCTTCAGTTTCCTCTGTCCACATATAATCGTGGGCCAGAGACGTAACATGGTGTCCCTCAAGAAAAAGATTGCTGCAGCTGCTGGGGTAACACAAGAATCCCAACCCGCCACATCTGCTGCAGATGATATCCTACCAATCGAGGAAGAGATTCCAAAGACTCAGAAAACCCCCAGTGTCACCATGCCCGTCTCCGCACCATCCACTCTCACAGATTCGACCAGAGGGAAGCCCAATCCCAGGAGCGGCGGTCCAGACCTAGCCCAGTTGCAAGAGAGACAAGACAGAATTATGAAGATGTCAGAGGCCTTCTTCAACACGGTCATGCCCACCAACGACAGGGAGAGGAACACTTTCTGCAATTGGATTACGGCTGTGCGTCATGAACTGCCCAGAGACCTTTACAGGAAGGCCCAGAGTGACACCTGGAACCTACTCGAGCTTTACAGACAGCAGCAGGAGTCCAGGGAGCAAGCCAACCAGCAGACAGCACTGCCAGCAAATTATTTGCAGCAACCACTGCCACAAATTCACCCTCAGCATTCTTTCCAGTCCGGATGTCATAACCCGGGTCCTCAGCAGCAGTATTGGCAGCCAGCACCTTCCCAATGGAAAAAGCACATAAGCGGCCCCAGTGTGTCCGTC